ATTCAGGGTTAAAGCCTGTGAGATAAAAATTGTGCATCTCTGGGGTACTCTGTCTGAAATTTGGACATTGTCTAATTCTGATTGTCTGAAATTTGGACATTGTCTAATTGTATGAATTTGACCAAGTCATTATATCTTTTTTTAGACCCCAGTTTCCTCATCTCTCTTCTGAGGGTGATTATGAATGTCCATGGTCTCTTGTAGATTCTGAGATACCATTGGGGTTAAATGAGGTTAAAGTTGTGAGGAATGTACTGCATGCTTTGTAAGCAGAAGGCACGTTTTATTTATAATGTCCAAACAAACACCTTCCAAACATGAGATTTTAGATACCTAGACTGGGATTTCAATTTGGTCAATATTTTCTGCACTGTCCTTATGTCTGTCACAACTACCCTGTGTTCTACAGGTCTGGTGCAAAAAGCCATGACGTCTTGGCTGTGGTGCTGGTGGTGGGGCAAGGAACTCTATCTCTCAGATGTAGGAGGTTGCTAGAGGGCTTGGTGTATAAGAAGGTCTTAATTCAATTCTCATTCTCAGGGCTCCTTGGAGGTGAGTTCCTCCCCTGTGCGCTGAGTCTTCTGATGCTTCTAATTGACTTGCAAGTATCTTGTCTCTCCTTGGAAATGTCACCTAGCCCTTTCCAAGTGCATTTCCAGGCAATCAGGATCAATACATCGTTTAGGTTAAGCATATGAGATAGTGATTGACAGTCCAAATGAGTGTTGACTTCAGCTCCTGATAATAAGTAGCTGCTGAGACTCATTCATGTCTGTGATCCGGAACCTAGAAAATGTATAGCCCAACTGCCTCTAAGTTCCAGTGGGTCAGAGGGCTTAACACTCCAAATAAATAATTGCTGGGTCCCTGCTTTGTTCTAGACATTGTGTTGTATGTGATAGATACAAGGACTACTGTCAGCTCATCACCCCCTGTATTGGGTTTATAGTGTAGTAGGGGTTAAGACACAGGCAATGTCTTGCTGATGTCACTTGGGCTGGGGCTGTAACAACAGTAGGAAAACAGCTTCCAAGATCCAAGGAGGGAGTGATAATATTCTATCTTTCTGATCTTCATTTGTCTTTATTTGAACAGACAGAAAAGCCTGAGTAAAAAGACACTTAGGTTGAAGAATGGCAAAGTTAACCCTTTCATCAGCTTAGTCCAGAAATGACTCTTTGTTCTTCCTCTTTACTAGTCAGGTACTCATTACCCGTAACGTTAGTCATTGTACTGGACACTGCTTAGAAGAAAGAATATTCACACCCTGACTTCAAGGAGAACATGGACTAATACTGTGGTCTTTCATACATGATCACAAGACAGCTGGCCTTCAGAACTGGGGAGTGTACTGTGTCAGGGAGTGTATATGCTCATCTGCAGCCACTTTCTCACTCAGCTCCTCTGTACTTATAACTAGGTGCAGGATGGTGGACTAGTTCTGGAGGGTGTGTCTGTGGACATGAACAACTGTGGTCTGGCCCATATGGAGACTGAACACATGACCTTGGGTTCATTTGTTGAAACCCAACCACCTGCCAAACCACAGTCTCCTACAGCATCCTGCCATTCCTGGGGCTTTGTCCTTACGAGGTGAGGGGAGGCAGAATGTAGAGGCACAGTTAAGAAGTGTCAGAGTAGAGTTGAGAGTCTGACCTTGGAGTTTGAAAACCTGAGTTATAGTCCCATCTCAGTCACTATAAACTATTTCCTGCCTGCCCTCGATTCTGCCTATACACTCAGTCAAGTTGTGTGTGTGTGTATGTGTGTGTGTGTGTGTTTTCTGGACATTATTACCTTTACCTGTAGGTGGAGGACTGAATTCTCTCAGAATATACTTAAGAGGGCAAGAGATAGTAATGGCAGTGACTCTGGGTACAGGTGGTTTGGCAGAGGAAAAAAAAACATACATATTTGTAAGTTTATACTATATATATGAAAAAAGGAAATTAAAAGACATATCAAAAAAATACCATACTTGTATGCCAAAAAGAAAGTACTTAAAATGGATTAATTTGTATGAATGGTGTAATACAGGGGTGTAATCCCATTCTTCTGCATGTGGTTATCCAGGTTTCCCAGTACCATTTGTTGAAGAAACTATCCTTTCCCTATTGAGTGGTCTGGGGCTCCTTGTTAAATATTAGTTAGCTACATATGAGTGGGTTTATTTCTGCACTCTTGATTCTGTTCCATTGATCTATATGTATGTTTTCATGTCAGTTTTGGTTATTATAACTTTGTAATGAAGTTTAACATCAGGGGAAAAAAATAAAGGAGCTAATGAATGTAAAGTCCTTAGCCTGGTCCTTTCAGGTAACATTCTCAATAAATCCTATTATTATTATTATTTAAAATATTGGTAGTAGTAATTTTGTTATTTTATTATCATTATCTTTATTTAACACCTGCTGTCCTGTCTTCAGACTGCAAGAGAAAAAACAATGTTTCTTGAATTTTAATATGCATACAAATCTCCTGAGAGTTTTCTTAAAGATTGTTACTTAGAAGGTCTGAATCTTTAAGAAATGAAAACAGATGATACTGATATTGCTGGTCCATGTAACAAAGTTTGGGAAACAAAGGCCTGGAGGGTGTAGAAAAAGGAGAGGGATTGAGGGTGGGGTCTTGAGAAAAGAGTACAGGATTGAAGATATCTGGTCTCTGAATACCCCTGAAACTAGGGACACAGACTGGAGACAGTGCTGCTGGAGCTCTTGTAGGTTCCCCAAATTTATAATTATGGTTAAGTGATTACCTTCCTCTGGGGAGAGCAGAAAAACTGATTAAAGGTAAAGGACATAAGGTTTATTTTGCATTATGTCATAAAAAATGCATAGAAGGGACTGCATTCCTCCTGCAGTCTGTATTGGAGATGAACTTTTGTCTTAGGCTTGGTGGGTTGGCAGGTCTTCAGGGGACCTGAATCTTTAGGTTTATATGAAAGGTCTAGGACAGAGTGGTGATCCTTTATAAGTTATATTTTGTGTGATATCTTTGGTTGCTTTGGGCTCTGCTTTCTTCAATTTAGTAGATTATAAGCTTGTTGGAGAAGATGGACTCTAAGTAGAAATAATGTTTACTGTTACTACAGTCTTAATCATAGCAGTACCAATAATGGGAAGTTGCTTAGGGCCAGATATTATTTCATTTAATCTGCACAACAATTCTAAGAAGCAGTACCTGCTTTATTTCAAGAGTCTTCACCATCTAACATGCTTTGATTTGCTTGTTTCATACTTTGTCTATCTCAACTAGACTTCAGGGTTCTTGCACTCTCTGCAAGAGTGTTCATTGCTCTAACTCCTAAAACAGCATCTCCACATAGTAGTTGCACAATATACACTTGTCAAACAGGTGAGTACATGGATGAGAAAATCAAAAGCTAGAAAGTTTAAATAATTGGTCTCAGGTTCCCCAGGTCGTAAATAATATAGCCAAAATCTAAATCCTGTGACCTTGGTTCTAAAGCTCTTCACCACTTTGTAGTGCAGTGCTCCCCATCATTTTAGCTGCTCCCCAGTCCCACTCAATGCCACCAGTTTACATAGTGAATCCTGTCACCCAGTTGAGTCCTTCGCTGCCAAGGTCCAAGAATCTGTGGGTTAAACTGAGTTCTTGAACATTAATTATCAATGTTCTCTGGAGGTCACAGTAGCACAGACTTCTAAGCTAGCCCCAGGCATTCCAAATCATTGAACGCTCTCAGTTAAACCAGCGCAAGATGCTTCTTGAGAGCACATATTCCAGATATTGCTGGGTTATCAGACCAGCTCTGAGGTTTTCTGTATAAAGCCCATGTATCTTTTTCTTTATGAGGGTTGTCATGTGACCTTATATATTATTCTTTTTGGTTCCTAAAAAAACTTTACAAGGTGTATGTTTGAACTGGAGGAGCTAGGGTACCCAGTGGAAGCAATCAGACAAGGTTCCTAAGCCAGATCCCACAGGCAGAAAGTGTCTTGCTTTTTTCCTACTAGACACAGCAGTTGGATATTGGTCCTTCTGCTGACCAATATGCGCTGCTTTAAAATCTCATCAGAGCTCCAGATGATAGCGTTGACAGAACAGTAATAAATCAAATCAGCTGGTTTCCGAAAGCTAAGTTCTTGAGTCATAATTGGCTTCTTGGAATCTCCTAACACAAGGATGAGAGGTAGGTGACCTCTGTTGAGCAAGGCCTCAATCCTGGGGGCAGATGTTGGGAATCCCTTCTCACCCAAATGCAGATGTATAAAAGTACAGGTGGTCACACCTGCACTTGATACATTCCCAAATGTCCTTGGACATACCAGTCCCAATGGGCATGAGGCCAAAAATGAGATCCAAATGAAGGAAATAAAATGTGATATGCCTGGGATAGTTATTAGGAAGGAAGTACAAAAAATAGTGTTATTTGCCAGCAAACTGAAACTTTTTGTGTTGGTTGATTTAAATATATTATTCTGAGATAGAAGCCCCGATTCATGAAATGTTAACATCCGAGGATCACCTAGACTTTTATCATGTAACCAAGACAGAACATCTTCTAATTGGTTCATTATGCATCTGCAGTGACCCCAGATAAAATGCTCGATTTTGAATGGCTTTATCCAATGAAATATGAGATCTGTTGCTCCTATTCTGTTCCTTAAAGTAAAAGCCCTTCAGTTATCTTTGTGAGACATTTTTGTGTCTGACTTTGTGAATTTAGAGGAAGGACTTTGAAATTCTTGTAACCTTATCTAAACCACAATTTCTGGTGGCTTCATGTATTGATCAAAAGGTTAATTTTCAGGCCTCTTTTCCAATACATTGTAAATATGGAAACAAGAACCAGGAAAACAATATCTCTCAAATTTAGGATGATGGGTGTCTCATACCTCAACTTCAGCTCGTGAATTCACTTTGTAACAAAGGTTTGAGGAATTTTCTGCCTGAGGTTCATACATCACAGCAACCTCCAAACCCAAATGAGGGCCCAGCTCCATTAGGAATAACGAATGTCCAAGCCATTTCAGATTACAATTAATTTTTGTTCCCAGAGTTCATCACACGATCTGCTGCCACTGCTCATTTTCTGAAAATTTTTCTGGATGTCCAAGTGCTCATCATCCTGAGCAGTAAAGAATAGTCACATCTTACATAATTTATCCCAGTGTCCACAAATCTCTCTAGGTCTGCACAAACAAAGCAAAATGCAAAATGCAGAATACAAGTGTTCATCAGTGCATGGGCGTGTCTCAGAAAACATGAATAAAGGAGAAAATTGTGTACTTGGGGCTTCTAGCCAGTGGCTCTGATTTTACTCTTGCCTCATGCTAAACTTAAATAGGCTTCTGGCTTTAGAAAGATTTCTCTGATTTCTTATATGAAATCCCCATTGTAGATGGCCCAATGCTGCTTGCTCTAAAATCAAACTTTGGTTTCCTATTTCAGTTCTCTTGAGAAATACCACAAAAGGTTGTAAACAGCTCAAATCATGTGTTAGACCAGAAATATGAAGTCAAGTTTATGTCTTACAGGAATACACTCAACCGCCATCTCCATAGATGTTTGTTCATGATTACTGATACTTGTGGTTGGTACCAAGTTTAAAGGAAAGAGATACATGGCCAGGAAATATGGGGTCTCGTGACCTGAGTCAAGATGATTACATCTCTTCTTGCAATTATTTTTAGATAAATACTATGTTATAAAAAGCTAGAGGGGAGAATTACAGTGAAAAATTTATCATAACTCTCTTCAGACTAAATAAAGCAAGTTCCATGGAAGAAGCCAATCTAATGTTGCTCTTTAATTTGGGGGACATAAATCAAAAATATCCAGGGAATACCAGGGAAATAACTATAATCATTGTTTGGAAATTTGTTCAGCGAGAAGAAATCATTCACCTAGCTCATGCTTGTAAAATTTCCCCTCCTGTTTCAAACCAGTTATATGTCATTACTAAGGAGTGGCCACTGACTGTCAATTCCCTTCCTATCTTTCCACCATCATTTCATCTTCCCACTGTACCTTGTATATCAGCCAGGGAGTTTAATCATTACTTCTTTTTAGTTAATTTTTCTTGTGCTTACCACCATCCCAAAACATCTCATGATTTTGTAATTAAAAGTGCTCCTCTCTTCTGTATTTGGCTGTATATCATAGTCATCTTTGTAAACCTTTGTCAGCACACTGCTGACCATATAACAGGGCTCCATGTAAACTTATTGAATGAATAGACTTGGAACCAAGAGGAAAATTCCCTTTTCAAATATTCTATGGGAAAAATATATATGTAATCTCTGAGCTATCTTTAATAAATTGAAATCTATAGGCTGTTATCTATATACTATATATAGGGCTCTTTGGTTTGTTCTTAGTTATAAACATATATTTAGACATAGACAGAAATTTTTTTGGTCTCATATTTCTAGGGCAGTACAAGTGATACATGAATCGGAGCTTTGCAGCCCGGTGCTCAACTGCTGCTACATTGGGGAGGCCCAGATATGTGAACTGGAATGGAATGAAAATTAGTTAAGAAATATATTTCATTTTAAAAAGTTGAAGTTATGGGAACAGATACATTTGTGGTTGCCAGGAACTAGAAAGTGAGGGACATGGGAGATACTGATCAAAGCATACAAGTTTCTGGTTATAGGATAAGCTTTGGAATTGACTGTCTAGTATGGTGACCGTGGTTAACAATACTGCATTATGTACTTGAATGTTATTATGTACTTGAATGTTGCAAGAGAACGGATTTTGGGTGTTCTCATCACATAAAGATGAGAACTAACCCAGTTGTAATTATTTTGCAATATATAAAGTGTACAAAATTAGTGATTACCAGAGGGGATAGGAGAAAGGATGAAGTGGATGAGGGAGGGAGGCAGATGGGGTACAGGCACAGTAGTTTGGTGGAAGGAAAAAAAAAATAAGGCAACATATGTAGAATCAGTGCTTAAAATTCAGGAGAATATCAGGTTCATAAAAAGTTAGAAAACTGACCAAATCGAATATGAAATATTGGCAGTTATGTGTACACATATGTAGGCATTGAAAAAGGTGCTCTTTTTCATTTATAGATCATGCTTTGTGTCATATTTTAAAATAATTGATTAACTTGAGGAAATAAAGATTTTCTCCTATATTTTACACATTTTATAATTCTCCATTTGCTCTGTGATCCAATGTTTTTGAGTTAAAGGGAGGCAGGATATGATTAGAAATTAATTTTTTATTTGTATATGTATATCTTATTTTCCCAGCAATATTTGTTGAATAATCTTTGAATCTTTGTTTAAAAACCTTTGTCTATGTATGTATATGCCTATTCTTGTCTTCTCTGTTATGTTCCATTAGGTATCTATCTTTACCTCAATATCACAGTGTCTTAATTACTGAAAATTTGTTTTAAATATTAAAATCAGGAAGTAAATGATTGCACCAACTACGTTGTTAAAAAACATTTTTTGTTTTCTAGGTCCTCTTATTTCCATATGAATTTTGGAATGACTTGTCAATTTTTACAAGCCCCAATGGGGGGTTTGTAAACCAATCACTGGCTGATTGGTTAAGTTCTTTGTGTCTATAGCAACTCCTCTGATACCAGCCAAGGGGTGGGAGAGGGAAGAATGGTTCTTTACACACAGGTTAAGATGAAAGTCCAACCCCCTTAAATAACATTCAGTGATAGTGCATGGGGAAGGTTTCATGGCAGCCACTGCGGAATGAATTCGATCCCTGGTGGGAGCTACCCAGACACAACAGACCTCTCCTGTCTCGCTTGCTGCTCCCCTTGCAGTGTATTATAGTCAGTCTGCTTCTTCTGCTCCCCACTCTGTCTCTGGTGAATCATCTTACCCCATCCCTGCAACTCTGGCCTGCCTATACCCCAGCTCTTGTATGCATGAATAAATAAATCTTAAAAAAAAATTGTCTGTGATTGTACCAAATCATCAGTTGTACATCTTAAACTTATATAATGTTATATGTATCTCAGTAAAACTGGAAAAAAAGAATAATCTATGTAGAAGAAAACATTTTTTTTTCTCTCTGAGTTGAAGTATCTCTTCAAGGCTTTTGGAATTCTCTTTTACATCCTGGAATAGGCCATTTGCTAGGACATACTCTTTACTGTCAAATCCTAAATTATTCCTAGAAAAGTGATCCATTTCTTTTTTGTAAGGTGCTTCTTTAACATTTCAGAAGTTCTGAAAACCTACAAAACCAGCCATGTCTTTACTTGTAAGTGTCAATAAGTAAGGAACTGTGGAATTATTTGAATAATTAATGTCCATGCCAGTTGAGACAAAGGCATTTGTCTCACATGTAATTACCTATTAGCTTGCCCCGGTTCTTTCCTTTTTGTGTGAGGCCCTGTCCTTGATTGCGTAGAGGTGTTAAGGCCCTTGGAAGGTCTCACATCTTCAATAAAGGTAAGTGGCCTTTTCCATCTGGCCCTTGAGTGTTCTAAGACCTCTTTCCTCTTTTACTTCAGGTGCCCTAGAAGAAACAAAACAAAACCCTCCACTTTCTCTCTCTGACAGATTGGGCCTGCTGTCTCCTGCATATCTGTGAAATTAAGGGCTTATAAATGTACCTCTAAGCAGCTGTTGCTGTGTTTTTATGATGGGTGGGAAATTAATTTCTTACCTGGTAGTGTTGGACTGTGCTTTTCCCCACATGTCTGATCTCAGAAAGAGCCTATAATTCTCCAGACTGCTGTGCTAAACTACCTTTGTCTTTCGTACCTCCTTTTATTTCCTAATCTCCCTTTCTACCTGACTTTGTGGTTGACCTTGAATAGAACACTTTGTTGGCTGTTCTAGAGCCCATCACAATGGTAAGTCAGAGACTTCCTAGTTCTTATCGCATAATTCCAACCTCTGTTTCACCCCTAACCTATAAGAAAGGTTTTTTCAGAAAATATTTTCTTGAATGGAACAAGATGGATGATGTCTTAAAATGGGAGCTGACAGATGTGGTTAACATTTGGGAGGTTGTTGCTTATGTGTAATACTAGTCTTCCTTCCTTCTGTGAGGATGGGTACACCCCCAAGCCTCACAGCATTTGTCTGTGTGGATATCAGTCCATCCTCAGGCAGCCGTAGATGGTAAAAGCAGTAGCAGGAAGTAGGAGAGTGAAGAGGAGGCATTGAAGTCCTATCAGGTGTTCTTCCCATAGAGTAATTAAAGGAATTTAATTCAATTATTTAATTGATTTTATATCCTTCAGGATGTTTCCAGATTCTCTACCCCCTTTACCTAGAAAGAATAGAATAATGACCAATATTGTTAAGATGCTTTGCAATTTCCAGACGCATCCACACATTCTATCTCATTTGGTTTTCAAAACAGCCATGCGAGGTAGTCAAGACCAGTGTTACTGCCCAGTGTGCATACTTCCTTAATCTTGCTTTCACTGTCCACATTTATATATGGCATCAAGAGCAAGTGAACTTTGAGCTAACTTTTGCCATTTTGTTCCAAATTTAGGAACAACTAAAGCCCAGGGAGCTGAAGTGACTTGCTAGGGTACATGGATGAACATTAAAGAGTTAGATCTCAAGTCCATGCTGTTCATATAATTTTAAAGAAATTACCTTTTTTGGGTGGCAGATAAATGTAGATTTGCATGCCCCTGCAGCAAATATTGAAAAGAGATCTATTATACCCTTTATCCAATTTTCCTCAGTGATAGCATTTTCCAAAACTGTAGCATAATATAAAAGCCAGAGTATTAACACTGATCCAGTCAAAATACAGAAAGTCCATCACCGCATGGACTCCACTGGTCCCCTGTTCTACCCATTCCTTAACTCCTGCAACCGCTAATCTTCATTTCTATATAATTGTCATTTCTTGAATATTATATAAACAAAATCATATGCAGCCTTTTGGGATTCACTCATGCACTCAACTAGTTATCTGAAGATGCATCAGTAGTTTGTTTTCTACTATTGAGTACTGTTCCCTGGCATGGATGCCTCACCACAGTTTAACCATTCAACCATTGCATATGTATAGGTTGGCATATAACAAAGATGTTGTAAATATTCATGCAGATTTTTGTGTGACCATAAGTTTTCATTTCTCTGGGATAAATACCAGGAATGCAGTATCTGTGTTATATGGTGGTTGCATCTTTAGCTTTTGTAGGAAAGTACTAAACTTTTCCAGATTGGATGCACCAATTATACATTCTCATCAGCAATACACGAGTGATCCAGTTTTTCCACATCCCTGTCAGCCTTTGGTGTTGTCATTATGTAAAATTTTAGTCATTCTGATAGATGTGAAATGATCTCATTGTGGCTTTGTGTGGGCATTTTTCTAATAGCTAATGATGCTGAAAATCTTTTCATGTGCTTGTTTGCCATCTATACATCTGCTTTAATGAAATGTCTTTTGTCCATTATTCTAATTGCATTCTTGTTTTTATAAATACTGTTAAGAGTTCTTTATATATTCTAGTTACTGGTTCTTCATTGAATATGTTGTTTCCATACATTGTATCTTGTCTTTTCATTCTCTTAATAAGATAATTGGAAAAGCATTATTTAAAATTTTTGATGAAGTCCAATTTATCAGTTTTTTCTTTTATGTATCATGTTTTTGATGTCAAATCTAAGAACTTTTTGCCTAACTGTAGATTCTGAGATGCCCTTTGTTATTTTCAAAAAACCTCATCATTTTATACTTTACATTTTGGGCTGTGATATTGTTTGAATTATTTCTGTAGAAGGGATGAGATTAAGGTCAAGGTTCATTTCTTTTCTGTTTTTTTTTTTTTCCTTCTGTGTGTCACTGAATATACAATTGATCTAGCACTGTTTGTAGAAGGTTTGTCGTCCTTCCTTTATTGAATGGCTTTTGCTCTTTTGTCAAAAATGTTGGGCATATTTATGTGGGCTATGCCTATGTCTTCTATTATGTTCCATTGATCCATTGATCCATGTGTCTATTCTTCCACCAATACCACATTCTTGATTACTAGGGTTATATGCTAGCCTTAGAATCAGGTAAAATGGTTCCTCTAATTTTATTCAAAATTATTTTTCGCTGTTGTGTTGCATATAAATTTCACAATCGTCTTGTCTGTGTACATACAGACTGTATACATATTTCTATAGAATGTATACATTTCTGTAAAATCCATTAAACTTCATACCAACTTCATACCAAGATGCCAATAATTGCTTTCTTCACTATGTTGAGTCTTTCAATTCATTAACGTTGTATGTCGATTTATTTAGAACATTTTTGATTTCTTTTATCAGCATTTTGGAGTTTTTAGCATATCAGTCCTGTATGTTTTCTTAGATTTTTTCCATTTATTTCCACAAAGAAAGCCCTTTATTAATATATGGTGTCACCCTGGGAGAACAGCAATTAATATTTCCTAAGAAACCATTTCAATGAGTGGCAAGCAAAGAAAGGTTGTATTAGAAAAGAGGGACTTGAGGATGTGAGGGGATGCAGGGAGGATTCTTTATTCTCAGATCTTGGAAGGAGCTAGGCAGTCTAGGGTTAGTCAGTCACCAACTATGGATGCATTTCTGGAATAGTTGCTCTCTTTTGCATTATCAATTTAAAATGACCCTCCGGTGTTCATTAGGCATTGATATCAGCATCCTAAATCTCTATTACCAAAACTAAATTAAGGAATCTTCATGACTTTGCACATCATATTTGCACAAAGGGCATGCCAATCTCTATCATTCCAACTTTATGTGCTGCCAAAGCAAGCATTTCTTTTTTTAAAAAAAAAAGCAAATTGCTTTTATTAGATTCGAGAAAGTAAATCACACAGTAAATAAATTCAGGACAAATACAATAAAAGAACACAGAAGTAAAAACATTTTATACATTTTTCATGGAAACTATACATGTAGGTGATAATTCCTTTTACAAGTGATACATTTTGACTGCTGCACTTAGATATGAAGAAAAGAATGCTTCTCCTTATTAAAAACCTATACACAAAATTAGAAAAGCCCATTTGTCAGATTAAAATTCCAAATGTTGGTAAAGCATCTGTATAACATGTGCATGAAGTTTGACAACTGTAACTACAAAGTATATAAAAATCTTGCTTGTTGATTTATCTGTTAGGTTGAAGATATCACTCCTAGAAAAGAAATTATGTGCACTCTGTTTTGTAAAGGGGAGAAATTCTGCCATAACACTTCTACATCAACTTTAGCCTGGATATTCCATATGTGCCTTGTGAAAGTATCAGTGTGCCTGATTAACATTTCCTAGTTTAAGAAATACACATTTATTGATAATAAACTGTGTACTAGATGGGTACAGATGTTTTAAATGATTACAGATGGTATTTTGTTTTGAATTTTTGTGTCTATATGTTCATTGATAGTATATAGTACTATAACTGATTTTTGTATGTTTCTCCATATCTTCCAACCTTGCTGAACTCAGTTATTAACTCACTAATTAATTCACTTAGTTCTAGGAGTAAAAACACTGTTTTTGTATAATTGTTGGCATTTTTTTAATGAGGACAATCACATCACCTAGAGACAGTTCTACTTCTTTCTTCCAACAAATAAATATTTAACTTTCTTGTCTTTTGCATGACTAGAATTTCCAAAGATAGACGTATAGGAAACACTATCCAATAGCTTTTATTTTTATTTATTTTCTGAATTTTTTCACTTCCTCTGCTGCTTTGTCTTTGTTCTTTTGTCTTTCACTTTATTTTGTCATTGTTCAGATTATGTAATTCCTATTATTCTATTTTCCAACTCATTGTTTATTTTCTCCTTCATTCATTCTGTTATTGAATTTTAAAAGATTGATTGTTGCATTTGTCAATTCTGTAATTTTCATTGGCTCATCTTTATATCTTTTGTTTATTTGTAGGGAGATTCTATGTTTTTGTTTAATTTTACATTCTTTTTCATTTGTTTTAGCAATATTTATTATTGATAACTGAAGCAATTTTAATGGTAGATGCTTTAAAAATAGATAATGAAAACATCTATTATCTCAGTAATGGCATGTATTATCTTTATTCACTGACATCTTGGTTCTTTGCACGAAGAATGATTTTTAAACTTAAATCTGGCTATTTTAGGTCTTATGTTATATGAACCTATTGAAGTTTTGGTTTTAGTTGGTTTCCTATGAAACCCCTCTAGAAAACAAGGAGGCTCACCAACTCATTATTGGAGGTAAAAATTAAGGCTCCCCACTCAAATATAATTGACAGATCAGGGGACATCCTCTTAATTCTGGGCAGGGGTGGGAATTATGGCTTCTGTCTTATGTCTGGTTATGAGAAATGAAAATTCCTCATTACTGCTCCTTGCATGGTCTCTACTGAGAGCATATTGGAGATGGCCTTTTGACATTGCGGCTGGTTAGAAAATGTCCTAGCTCTTTAATAGGACTCTCTTAACACTACCCCCAGTGGAAATGCAGACTTTCCTTGATGCTTCTGTGTGGAGTTGAAAGCATAAGCTCTTCACAATGTCTTTGATGACATAGTAGATGAGGGAAAGAGGAACTCATTACTACCCAACAGGTATGCAAGTTCTTGCTTCCTACTCAGACTCTCTGACATCACCAAATTGGATGGGTTAGGGTGCCTTGTAATAGCTTCATCTAGCCTTACTTCTTGGCCTTCATTGTCCTGGGTGGAGAAGGGCTTCAGTTTTATTGATTGTGTCTATCATAAAGTGGCTATTGTCTAAATGTTTTATGTCTTGATAGGCACCGCTCTTTCTCATTTCTTTGTTTAGAGAGAGCTGATTTTTCCTTGAACTCTTTGACATTTCC